TCCCTTCCCACTACAATGAAATTCTGGTGAAATGAGATGAGATAAATGTTTATAATATGTATTATGACAAATAGGAGCAATTTTAATTTTCTACCCTGATACAGTGCATAGAAAATTATTGGTTAATCTTAGGTTTAGACCCTAAATCCGTGGCTAAGCTACGAGGATACCGGCTCCCACTTAAGAGCTACAACTTCCCTTCACATGAAGGCTAAGGCCAAATAGGAGCAATTTTAATTTTCTACCCTAATACAGTGCATAGAAAATCATTGGTTAATCTTAGATTTAGTCCCTAAATCTGTGGCTAAGCTACGAGGATACCGGCTCCCATTTAAGAGCTACAACTTCCCTTCACCTGAAGGCTAAGTCTTGCTTTAGTTTTTAAACACTAAGACCAAATTAAGGATTTTAGTCTATGACCCTAAAGATTCTACAATTCTACACTCAACAAAGAATATTTTTCTATTTATTTACACTTAATTTCTTGAACGAATTTCTCCTTCATGAAATCAAATGTGACCCTCACTATGTTTTAGAATTCATACGCCATTTCCTGGATTATATGTTTCACTACATATCTTAACAAATCAATTGTCAAGTTTGAAAAGTAAATTAAGTTATGAGTTGAAAAATCATCACAATTTATTTTATATTTTAATTATGGCACATTCATTTTATCTCTTCATTTCACCATATCTCAGAGTAGGGGAATGATAGAGGGAACTACTCAGAATTCATAAGAAAGATATGACAAAACAACAAAACACAAATTTCATATATAAAATAAAGTTCATACAACACTAAATAAACAAACAAACTTATCTAAAACTCTTTCTCAAAACAAATCCTTTGTATCCTTTCCTTAGAAATGCAAAAAGAAGAACTCTCTCACTTTTATCCTTCTCCAACACTCTTACAGAAAGTTTCACACTAAATATAACCACAAAAACTCTAAACTATGAAAGCAAAATTACTAATTGACTCCAATATGGTGGTGGAATGAAGATGGATTATGAAAATGTGGTGTGGTGGAACATTGTGGAGCGAAAAATGAACGTAGAGGAGCCCGTTTTCTGATGAAATTCGACCTCAAATAAACCCCAAGGTTGGTTCTCCAAGAGGTGCCTCCAAAAAATCTTTAAAAATTATTCACTTACATCAAACCTTCTAGAAACGGGTCTGAACCACCTTTGGCATCGTCGGCACTAGTTGTAGCGTTGTTGGCACTGAGTAAAATCCTCCTGCTTTCGGTTGTTCAGGGCCGTCGGCGCTGACCTTGGCGCTGTCGGAATGAAGATGGATTATGAAAATGTGGTGTGGTGGAACATTGTGGAGCGAAAAATGAACGTAGAGGAGCCCGTTTTCTGATGAAATTCGACCTCAAATAAACCCCAAGGTTGGTTCTCCAAGAGGTGCCTCCAAAAAATCTTTAAAAATTATTCACTTACATCAAACCTTCTAGAAACGGGTCTGAACCACCTTTGGCATCGTCGGCACTAGTTGTAGCGTTGTTGGCACTGAGTAAAATCCTCCTGCTTTCGGGTGTTCAAGCTTTAAAAACTTTATTTTGACTCTAAATTTCATCCTTTTTTCTTCCTTTTTACTTTAAGCCCTAAAAATCAACAATCTACAAGAAAACAACAAAATACCTTCCATTAAAGTGCAATATCTCCAAAAATAAGTAAACTATTGGTCTAAAAATGCATATATTTTTGGTGTATCACCTTTTCAGCTGGGATGAAGTCCAGCGGGGGAATATTATATGGAATAAATTCTTGTCACCTTCTATGTCTTTTTTCAGTTGGAGAACCCTACACAACTTATTACCTACTAATGATATACTTAAAATGAATAGTCTGAGGGGCCCCTCTAGATGTCACATGTGCTTAGAGAATGAGGAATCCAACTCTCATCTTTTCTTTGATTGCATTTTCTCACAAGATGTCTGGAAAGCACTTTTTACACATTTAACCCTGAGGAAATCTGTTTTTAAATGGGATGACCTTAAAGGTTGCTAGCAAAGTTGGAACACTCAAAAAGTTGCTTCCATTCCTTTTTTAGTTGCTTGGTTTATTTGGATGGCTAGAAATCTTGCTAAATATGAGGGCAAGTATACTTCAGCAGCTGGTGTTGTGAGAAACAGTATGTCTTTTATCCAAAAAAACTAATACAATACAAGCACTTCCCTAGCATTTTCTCTTCTACAACTGGGACTTCTTCTCATCCTACTATTTGTAAAGTCTTTTGGAGACCTCCCAGCCCTCCTCTAATCAAAATAAATATAGATGATAGTTTTTCTGATCAAGATGCTGGGGTAGGAGGAATTTTCAGAAACCACCTAGGGAAGTGCCTTCTCTTCTTCCATACACCTATTATTGTTGCTGATGCTTTAGAAACTAAACTCATAGCTATGTATTGGGCACTAAAGATTGTACTAAAAACTAACTGGACCCATCTCTGGATTGAAGTGGATTCCACTACTCTTATTAATCTAATTGAACAAGAGGGATTATCTTCATGGTATCATTCTTATTGGGTTTAGAGAATCAAACTGTTGAAAGCCCAAACCAACACAAAACTATCTTTCAATTATAGAGAAGGGAACAAACCTGCAAATTGGCTAGCTAGACATGGGCTTAACTCCAACTCTATTGATGTCTCCTCCACCCCACCTCCTTCACTTAATTTCTTGTTTGCTCGGGACCTAATTGATGCCCCTCATCTTAAACCGACTTCTTCTTTTTAAGGATCTCCTAGGATTACCTTTTTGATGTTTTTTTTTTGTGTCTTTTAGAGGGATCCTTTTCATTTTCCAATTAATCTTGTAATCTTTTCATATATTTAACATGTAAGGAGCCACTTGTAGGTGGCTCCTCATTGCTGACCGATAGGAGCGGCAGAGGGAGTTTGGTTGGAACTTCTAGTGAGACTGATTCTTCTTCCTCTCTTCCTTCTAGTCTCACTTTTGAGTTTTACTACTTCTTGGGTTTCGGTGATTTTAAATTTATTAGGTTACTGTTCCATTGAGTTACTATTGTTGAAGAGGGACTTAGTATTGGTTTTTGTCCCTTTACTTTGTTTCCATCCCACATGGCTGCTAACCTGGTTACAGCTGATCCAAATTTTGTAAGCAAACAATCATATGCAGTCACAAGTCTTGAACCAACTGGTTCCTCACTTAGGGACAAGCTTGTTTTCCCACAAGCTTACTATGATGCAATGGAAGGCAAGTTCGAGTGTGACCCTTATCCTAAAATGAAGCAAGAAAGTTGGAAAGCATGCCATTATCTTTTCAGAATAGGGAGTGGTAGACCTAACTGAGAGCTATAAATTTACACTAATTGGAAAATTTTTAATGGTTCACCCAAAGATGGACTTAATTAAAAAAACCTTTACAGATTTGAAGCTGGTAGGAAACTGGAAGATAAGGTTGTTTGATAGCAATCATGTCATGATCCATCTCACTAAGGAAGAAGTCTATGCCAAGGTTTTCTCAAAAAAAATTATAACAATTGAGGATACCTCAATGAAGCTACTGAAATGGACCCCTGCATTTTATCTACAGAAGGAATTGCCTATTATTCAAATTTGGTTCAAACTCGCAATCTAAAATTGCACTTCTTTAACCACAGGGTTTTGTTCTCTATTGGGGCTCATAAATCCCTTCACAGCGATTAATCTCCTTTTTTGGACTATAAGGGGGATTGCCCACCCCCTTTCTCTAAAAAGGCTAAAATATTTAAATAGAAAGCATAAATTATTGTGTTTGGTAATCTTGGAACCTTTGGTTCATCAAAACCCTCTCAAATTCCTTAAATAATTCTCAGGCTTTACCTCATTTTCTAATCTCAACAACAAGATATGGCTTTTTTGTAGAGTTGAGCCGAGTTGTGTCATTCAGCTGAACCACCCCCAATTTCTTCATTTTTCTTTTAATATGGCAATTCAGGAGGGAAATGTTACCATAGTGTATGAAGCTACTGAAATGGACCCCTGCATTTGATCCACAGAAGGAATTGCCTATTATTCAAATTTGGTTCAAACTCGCAATCTAAAATTGCACTTCTTTAACCACAGGGTTTTGTTCTCTATTGGGGCTCATAAATCCCTTCACAGCGATTAATCTCCTTTTTTGGACTATAAGGGGGATTGCCCACCCCCTTTCTCTAAAAAGGCTAAAATATTTAAATAGAAAGCATAAATTATTGTGTTTGGTAATCTTGGAACCTTTGGTTCATCAAAACCCTCTCAAATTCCTTAAATAATTCTCAGGCTTTACCTCATTTTCTAATCTCAACAACAAGATATGGCTTTTTTGTAGAGTTGAGCCGAGTTGTGTCATTCAGCTGAACCACCCCCAATTTCTTCATTTTTCTTTTAATATGGCAAGTCAGGAGGGAAATGTTAATGTTGGATGCAAAAAATCTGCAAGACTGGAGCTATGGAATGAATTGCATCATATAAGTCAACAATCAAATAAAGCTTGGCTAGTGGGGGGGGACTTTAATTATCTTACTTCTCCAGTTGAAAAGAGAGGAGGTAAACCCCCAAACATTTCTTTAATGACTACATTTAATGATAATATGTAGGCTTCTAGTTTATTTAATTTGGGTTACAATGGACTTAATTTCAATTGGAGAAGGGGGGAGGCTATGGGAAAGATTGGATATATTTCTTGTCAATGATAAATGGCTTTAGAACTTTCTACATACTACAGTCACTCATCTCAATTTGGCTGGATCTGATCACAGACCTCTTTTGATCACCACATCTACTACTCAACAGTAAGGCAAGACTCCTTTTAGATATCTGAACCTATGGTCCACTCATATTGACATCCTCACCATTGTCAGAGAACACTGGAGGGACTGGGATCACCCTAACCCATTAATCAAGCTATGGTGTATGCAGAAAAAAGTTGCAAAGGCCTTACATCATTGGAAGTGGAACACATTTGGCAATATTTTGGTTGGGGTGGAACAGGTTGAAAAGGAACTGAAGGAAGCTGAAAGTTGCAATTAATGGGTAGGTTGATGAGGTCTCACTTTTGAAAGCAAATGAAAACTTGCTCACAGCAGTGGCCTGACAAGAGAAATTTCTGAAACTGAAGGCTTCAAAAAATAAATTCACTAATGGAGATATGAACACAAAGTTTTTTCATTCTTGCATCAAATACAAAGGAAAATGTAACACAATTCACTCTATTAAAAACAACTTTGGCACTGGATTAAGGAATCAACGGAAATTGTTGGAAGTACAGTGGACTACTGCCAACAACTAATGAAATGTTCATCTAATTCAAGTGTGCAGCTTGACCTAGAATTTTTTATTTCTGATGATGTATACACTACAAATAGTAATCTTACAGAAGTTCCTAGTGAAGAGGAAATCAAGCAGGCCCTTTCCTCCATTGACAGTACCAAATCTACAGGTCCTGATGGTTTCACATCAGATTTCTATAAAAAAGGTTGGGACATAATCAAGGATGATGTAGTGTCAGCAATACAATGCTTTTTTCAGGGATATGGTTTACCAAATTACTTCTGTTTTTCCACAATTGCCTTTGTTCCAAAATCCGACATCAAGGAACAATGACAACATTTCAGAACCATTAGCTTACTGATGTAGTGAGCAAATTATCAGCAAATTACTGGTGGGGAGGCTTCAACCCCATTTGCATCACTTAATAAATCCAAAACATATAGCATTTGTGAAGGGAAGGCATATAGGAGACGATGTCTTGCTTACACAAAAACTGCTACATGATTTAGAGAAACCTTGTAAAGGGGGTAACATGATTTACAAACTTGATTTAAAGAAGGCTTATGATATGATAAATTGGGAGTTTGTGCTTGGTATACTGGTGGCCAGGAGATTCTCCACTGCATCATGTCAGATCATAAAAAGATGGCTGGAATGGAATGTGAAATCAATTTTAATTAATGGAAGAGCCAATGATTTCTTAAACCAGGGGTCTCAAACAAGGAGACCCTCTATCTCCTACTATATTCATCCTTGCTTTGGACCACCTCTCTAGATTAATTGATAGACCCAATCACAGGAAGAGTTACAACAAATATCATCATAAATCAACCTTGGATATCAGTCACTTGGTGTATGCTGATGATATTATTATATTCTCTATAGCTAATAAAGTTGTTGTCAGGATGTTACATGCTTGTCTGCTACATTTTCAAAACACATCAGGGTTGCTATTCAACAAATAAAAATGCTAAGTCCTTCTTCAGCAAACAGGTTCCCCCTTCCAGCAAGCAATGGATCATTAATCTCACAGGTTTTACCTCTATTCCCACCCCTTTCAAATGTCTGGGAGTACAACTGCTTAAAGGAAGGACCAAGCTTACCCATTTTGATGAGGTAGTAGATAAAACAAACTCCTAATTACAATGTTGGACCAACTCCTTCCTTTTTAATGGAGGTAGGATAACACTACTGAAAACCATCCTCACTACCTTCCCATCATATATCCAACAAATGGCAGCTATGAAGAAATGAACTCAACTTCTCTTAGAAAAAACATTTAATAGATTTCTCTGGGCAGGGCAGAGAAAACAATGGTTTGGGCCAGCTAGAAAAAATTTGCCAAAGCTTTATCAGCTAAAGTTTTGGGGTTCAAGGGACTTCAGCAGATCTAACACATCAGTCTATGTAGACAATGGTTGAGATTCAGACAATAGGATACGCTGTGGGCACATTTCATGTTAGTTAAATACTGTAGATTTGCCCACCCCAATATGGTTTCCATAAGATTGGGGGACTCCAGAACATGGGGAAACATGCTCAAGGCCAGAGAAGATGCTGAAAAGCTATATTTATGGGATCTGGGACATGGAAATCTTCAGTTTTGGTTGGATAGATGGTGTCCAACAGGATTACTGGATCCTATGCCCGAGACTCCTGATATTGATCTCATGGTGAAGGATTGTTGGGAGGGGAACTCCTGGTCAGATGAAATTCTAAATAACTTCCTTAATGAGTACTCAGTCACATAAATTACCAAGATACCTTTTGACAAAAATAGAAAATACAAACTTGTTCTAACATCTTGCTCCAATCAAAGTCTGGCCAAAGTTATATATGAAAAGTTGTATCAATGGGAAGAGGTGCCCTGAGGATAATGCTTATGGAAGAAGTTCCTAACCCCCTCCAAGTCCTTTTTCTGTTGGAGATTTTTCAACAATTTGCTATCTACAGATGATATCCTTAAATTTAAGGGACTGAGAGGCCCTTCCATGTGCTATTTTTGCAAGAATGTTGTGGAGTCTGTCGGGTACCTGATCTTTACCTGCAATTTTTCTCAAACAGTCTGGAAGTCCCTAATATAAATGCAATCAATCTAGAGTGGAACGGTCTGTTAACCTGCTACAGTGGATGACATGAAATGAAGGTGGGAACTATCCCCTTTATCACTGCCTGGTTTATCTAGGCTGCCAGAAATCATGTAAAAGATGAATACCCAGCTAGTAGCTATTGGGAAATTGGTCTCCAACTGCTTAGCTTTCATAAAAAAAAAACTTATTCAATTTAAAAGCTTCCCCAATATTCTGAATATATGCAGAACAGCTGGTCCTACTAGTTTCACAGTGGTCAAGGCATTTTGGAAAAAGCCTACCCAGCCTTTTATTAAATCAACACTGATGGGAGCTTTTCCTCACAGAGAGCTGGTATTGTTAAAGTGTTCAGAGATCACTAGGGACAATGCTTGTTGTTATTTCAATCCACAGTCATTGTTGGGGATGCAATGGAGGCTGAAATAATTAACATGTATTGGGCTCTGAAGCTAGCCAGCCTGAACAATTGGACACTCTTACAAGTAGAAGTGAACTCTTCTCAGCTCTTGGACTATATGATAGGAAGAAACAACCCCCCTTGGCACATACTGAGTGGATCAAATAGATGAGGAGCATAATGAAGGAGATGAGGAACTTTTTTAATTTCATCTATAGGGTAGGGAATAGACCTGCAAATTACTTAGCCAAAAGTGGAGCTGAGTCTCAAAGTGTTAGTGTATCTACTTCTCCTACTTCTTCTTTTAGTTTTTTTTTTCTTTAAGGGGGCAATTTTAATGCCCCACACTTAAGCTTGTAATCTCTTTTTCATATTAATAGAGATATCTTTTTTTGGCAATATATATATATATATATATATATGATACTCAGCAAAAAAGGATGATTTTATTCAAGTAAAATTTTATTACAAATTCTAAGGTAAGGGACATTTAGCAGGTCCCCACCCAAAAGAAATGCTAGAAAGGCAGAAGGGGTTTTTTGACACCATAGTAGAGTTAGAAACATTCTCAAACTTGGCCAACCAGTTTGCAGGACAGTTCTCTCCCTATAGATGAAAGTAAAGTGAATGGGAGAAGGGGTCCTCAATGCCTTGATTTTCCTAAGCCAATGAGCAATGTGCCAAAAATAAGATTCTTCCATAGTGAGAGCCTTCAGAAGTAAGGCAGAATCCATTTCCACCTGAAGATTGTCCTAGTTGTTAAGGGTAGCTAATTTAATATCCCAAAAGAGAGTTGCCACCTTAACTTCATGGGCATCCTTGACTGAAATGGAAGAGCAAAAAAAAGGAGACATTTGCCAACATGGTCCCTGAAAACACCCCCTATATCAACACCTTGATCTGAATAGTTGCCATCAGTGTTAGGTTTAATATAAGGGCGGGTAGGTCTCACCCAAGGCACCTGTGTAACCTCAAGTTTGAGGGAGCCAA